GAAGTAAAGTTTAAAAATAGGTGTGGCATGTTTATCCCTCCTGTATGTCTGTTCTTGACCTTTAGTGAATTAATTTCCCCTCTTGGCCACAGCCTTCACCCGTCTAGGCCCATTCTAGCAGCACTGGTAATTTGTCATTAAAAAGTAGTATACAGGTGAAATGCTTATTAATTTAACTTAATAAATGCTGAAGAAAGATCTGCTGCCTTCTAAGTAATTCTAATATAGAAAAACCTGATTTCCTGGCAAATGTTCAATGCCAATGAATATCATTTCATACTAGACTGGAAATCTAACCATTTCTCACCCCAAGAACCAGACAAGACAGCCCTCACCCTTTCTATGCTCAGAACATAAATATAAATGTCATAAACAATACAAATCAGCCTGACTTAAAATGCTAAGAATCCACTAACTGAATCAGGCCTGGATGGATGGATACAAGATGTAAAATGCTAAGAATCTACTAACTGAATCAGGCCTGGATGGATGGATACAAGATGGAGAAATGACTCACAGGGGGCACTAACAACACTCCTTGGATCTGGATGCGATAGCCATGTGTCTAGAATGGCTGAGATTTAACTAGAATCCAGGGTAAGGATCTTTTCTAGAAGTATTTATTAATTCTAAATTGCCTTTAAGCATCAACAAAGAGAAATTAAGAACCCACCACAAGCAGAGCAGCAGGGCACTGGAACCAAAGAGTTATACCATCCAACCACACAAATTATGAGGGGTGAGTGCTATGGCTTAGTACACTAAGCCTCAGTCTGCAGTCCTGGCATTCCACATGGGCACCAGTTCAAGTCCTGGCTGCTCCACTTCCAATCTAGTTCCTTGCCAATGGCCTGGGAAAGTAGCAATAACATGGCCCAAACCCATGAGCCCCAGCCCAGCTCCATTTGGGGAATCAAGCAGTAGATGGAAGATCTCGTATCTCCTTCTCTAACTCTTTTCAAATTAAAGAAATCCTAAAAAAAAAAAAAAAAAAAAACAAGGTATATATGTAATGAAGTGAGACATGCTATTAGCACCTAACTCAGTGGGAGATAAAAGAGACAGAGTTCAGAGAGAAATCCCATCTCACACACTCCAAAATCTCCTAGAATAAGGCTTGTATGAGTTCAGATTCTAAACCAAAGACAGTATTACATGACAGAAGTTACTATCTGGATTAACAAAACTAAACCATCCATCTTTAAAAGGTTAAACAGTATTAATTCCAAAAAACTGGTTAATTACCTAACCACTTCCTCCAAGCAGCTCTTCAGGTAAAAGATCTTCTCTTCAGCAGATACCATCAATACAGGAGCAGGAAAATTGTCAGCCTCATCAGTGTCCCAATAAAGCAGTGCTGATGGTTCTTTACTCACCACCAAGCTCTGGAAATGAAGTGGGTAGACAGAATGATGAGTGAATGTGTAGGCAGATGCTCTGACTTGTCTCCAAGTCCTTTTGTCCTTAACCATCCCATAGGTAACTTAAAATGGGCATGGCCAGACCTGTGCATGGGTCAGGGCCTCCTCACCTATGTCGTCAGCTGTACTCAGAAGATGGGTCTTACGGCAGACAGGAAAAGAGGGTGGAGATGCGAGGAATGGCTTGTTGTTATATCTCTTTCTGTGCAGCCCTGGCTGTTGCTGAGGAGAGCGGCACTCGGAACAGGCCCTATTTAGACTCCAGGGCTGGCTCAGTGGATCTCCAGGCAACTGTTAGAGATGACTGTGTCCTTGTCCTAGGGAGAGCATCTAGCCTTTCAAGAGAGGAGCAAGAACAGCCTCATCTCAAAAGTTGATCTTCACAGCAAAGCTACAACATACTTTATTCCATAAAATAATCTATGCTTACACAGTATTTCCAGTTTTTCTATCAGCTTAAACCTAAAACTATTTTCCTTCTACTTGCTATTTGAAAAGCAGCAAAAAAAACTACTAACACAAAAATGAAGTACGTAATGGAGAAAGGGTTCCGTTTGGAAGGGGAAAGGAAAAAGCATTACATAAATGTTTCAAAGCAACCTGAGCAGTAACTTATAAAAGAAGAGGTGATATTCTGGCAGATGGAGACAGGGAGTTTCAGCAGAGAAAACATTGAGTAAAAATACGGAGGCAAAAAGACAGGCAGATACAGCAGAACCGTGATCGATTTGTATGAGGGAAAGACAGGAATGTATGTTAACAACCTTAAACACAGAATAAATTCTCAGTATTGAGATGGCAGTTCTCAAGGACAAATCAACAGTAGCACTGTGGCTTCTCCCTTTCCACCACTCACACTTGCAGCAGAGTTCAAATTTTCTGTATTTATCCTGGGGTACAATAACCTTTCCTTAAGACAGCCCACTGGAAATTCACGTCTATCAATCCAACTAAGGAGTCTGCATTTAGTTTATGTTGGGCAGGCATTACAAAGAGGATAGGGAGACATAGTAAAGACATGATTTCAGAGGGGGTTCACTGTTTTGTATTTGTGGAGTGGTTTATCAAGCCAAAACTTATTATAACCGAAGTTATAACTAAACCAGGCTTATGGCAGCACCATTACCTTTTTGTAGGATGAACTGTTAACACAGCATACCTGGAAGCAAAGCATCTCTAGCACGTCTTCTAGCCCTCAGTTGCATCTGAAATTACTTCTCCCAATCTAGACAGCATCTCTATTCAAAGCCTGATACTATGTCAACAAAGAAAAAAAAAGGGGAGAAAGCCGAACATAAATAGAAAAAAATAAATGCAGAAGTGTAACTGATTCATAGGAAGTCCCTGGTAGAGCTAAGTGTGTAAATAGCTTTTTGCACATTAAGTTACCTTCCCTAAGGAAATTCTCTGCAAAGATATGGAGAAAGACGTCTATCCCAGTAATTCAGATTCCCCCATATTTTTTTTTTAATAAAGTGGTGCTAACATACAAGTTTGCTAAAACCATTTTTTCACATTACATGTTCTTCTACCTCATTTAAAAGTGTACCATGTTCAACATGCCAATTTAGCCTGAGTTGGGTCAAAGAGGCTTAAGAATTGGATGTTACCACAAGGCATTTTACATTCATACTACTTCCCATACTTTAATGGTTCAATCTTTCAATACTTAAGCCATTGTCTTTTCAGCACTCACAATAGTCAATTAAATCCCAAGAGGTATATCCTGCTATTTGCATGTGGGACACAGATAAAATATCCACTTCAGGTGTTTTTGTTCATATTAGACAAAAAGGGCACAGCATTCTCAAAAAAAAAAAAAAAAAGTCCAAACTTTACCTTCAAAACAAATAGTAAGGACCTCAGTGACCTGCAAGGAAGATTTTTATGACAAAATTGTGGACCTGACATGGCCAAAGCGAGCCACAAAAGGCCTAGACAAAAGCTCATACTTCCCAAGTCCTCTCGACACTGCCAAGTGGTCTTCCAATGTGCTTGCCTGGATCTGCATCTCTACAGACCCCCTGGCTAAAACCAGTGTAACTAAGAAGTGTCATTTTGGTGAAGAGTGTTTGTTGCATGGCAGGAATATGCAGAGGTGGTACGCTCTGCACATGTTCATCATCATCATCGAGATCACCAACCATCTGGTTCTGTCCCCAGAAATCGCCTTCTCACAGCTGAGCAGTTTGGGGGAATCTCCCATAGGAGATGAAATTAAGTTAAAGCCATAGTCATTAACCAGTTGGAGACATACTTGGCAACTGGCCCATGGAAGAACTAGAACTATCACAGAATCTGTTACTGAGATGACAAACAGAACATAGAAGCAGCTAATAGTCCAAAATGAATTGCAACCTTGTCCCGTTGCTGAAGGAAAGGTCCTTTGTTTAACAGAACTTCTGGTAGCTGGTGCAAGATTCAGTTACTACTTAAGATGGGTTTCTACCAGCACAATCAGTGCAACCTTAAGTATCTGAACCTAGCCAAAGCAAATGCTATCTGGTCAAGTCACCGACTCTGCCCTCTGTTTTCCCATTTAGGCATGGTCCTAAAGACATACTGTTTATTTTCAATCTCATGTTTGCCAAAACAGTAATTAATTCAACAAGTTATTTTACTTTTCCCAAAACAAGCAGCCAAATTCCATGTGTCATGTAACACAGAAATTAACTTTCCACAATTAGGGGAAGTTCTGAAACCTAACAGTTTCATTAATACACTGTTCGAGAAGCAATTTTATCCTGTAAAGAATCAGAACACATTGTGTAATTCTTCAGGTCACAAGCTGTGGAGTCTCCTACAGAGGACACTATCATTCCAAAGTCTGTTGGGAAATGTCAGGAATGATGGCTCTGTGCAGTGTGCCTCATCACTAATGATGTAACAGGTCAAGCTGACGTTCCTTCACGCTGAGACCAGAAAAATCACAGCAGCCATTAACTGACAGCTAGCCAAAGCAGATTTCTGTCACCTGAGGACATCTTATCAAATTGGCCTAGAAAATCAGGTCAGAAATGCAGAATTAAAAGTTCCTCATCTTTCCCAGAAGAAAATGTGACAGTGTGTCTTTTATATGGAAACTTCTTTGTACATATGTATATACTTGTCATGGCCTTAATGCTGTAGGTCAAGATTTGTTTGGCTCCCACCTTCAGCAGCGTGTTAAGCAAATGCTTCCTTAATGTTAACGTTTCTACTTCTTACTGGACACTCAACCTTGGACAACCGAACTCCCTTTAGCCCCTAATTCTCCTTCCCTTTTTGCATGAAGTCAAACATTATTGGCAGTTATTTTCTGGCTTATAAAAAAAAATTTTCTGCAGTTTGAAGATGGAATGTAAAACCTGAGACTTGTATATAAAAGTGTATTTATTGAACCACCTGCATTCCCACATCCATGCTGATCCCAATGGAAAAAAATTAAAAGTTTTCTGAGATTTTCTCTGTGGTTAACTCATAATTTTAATGAACCAATTTTTCTAAATCTCCCAATTACCATCAAAAGAAACCTATATGTGATCTAAAACACATTTCACTTTACACAAAGCTTCATGTTGAGAAATCAGAATTCATTTGTTCATTCAAGAAATATTTATTGGTAAGATGCTATGGGAGGTACAAAGAAGACTCAGACCCAGATCCTGCCCATCGGGAGCTTACAGTCTAGTAGAGGAGATAGAACACATGTGGGATACATGATCAGACCTGGACCAAGAGGTAAAGTGTAGGTGACAGCCTATTGAAATTACCTAGCCTAGGTAAGGCGGGACGTAAAGACTGTTGAGGTAGAACCGACAGGACTTAGCTGAGACTCGACATGGGAGTTACAAAAAGAAAAGCAGGTGACTTGAACTTGCAGTATGGGTGATATTATCAAATGTAAGAGCAATGAAGGGGATAGGTTTGTGAACATAAATAAAAATCTCACAGGAAATTTTGCAAGTGCCTGGGACATACTCAGCACAAATCAGTAACAAAGAGCTGATTACTCACATCAGGGTTGGAAGTACCTCAAACTAGTAACTTCCTCACCAACTTTGCCTCTGCACTAAAATTTTTCCAAAATATCCTCCACTGAAATTCATAGTTGCTAATATTTCCTCAACTAAGCCCTGTGTCTAGATAGGCTTCCTTTGTGAGACTGGAAACAGAAAATGACATTGCTATTTGATCTACTAAATTATCACTTAGTAACTCCAGGACAGTAACTGTACTTTCCAGTACAATACATGAATACATTCCCCGAGCCCTTGTCCGCTAGGAGCTTACAGTCCAAGAAAGTAGCAAAACAAGTAACATAATCCCAACTCTAAGGTGGAAAGCGAGGCTAAGAACTATGAAAAAGTTATCAAGTGCTCAAGGAACAGTTTTAAACATGGAAGTCAGGACAGAGCCTTCAACAGACAGGACAATGTAGACCAGAAGTATGTGAAAATAAACGTGTTCCTCCCTTCAAATAAATTCCAACCCTAAAAGAGGACCACCCAATTCCTGCTGTATATCTTTTGTTAGGAGGCAAGACAAGTATTTCATAAAAACACAATTCAGAGGCAAAGAGACTGAAAATGAAGGTGCAGATTCAAGTTTGTCTTCTGGAAAGAGAAGGCACTTGAAGCCAGGGAATCAGCAATGTCTGGCTACATACACGGCACTGCAGGCACTAAAGAGGGTACATGCCTCCTAAGACCAAGCTGCTGCCACCTCAGAGCTTACTGTGGTAACAACGCCAGAGTACAGAATGCAAGATGCCACAGCAAGTACAAGACAATCATAGCTGGTAACACATGAGGATATCCAATAGCTTTCTGATGGCTGAGTCCATCCATCCCTGAGGGCAGTCAAGTTACTGTCCCAAGAGAGAGCTGAGCACAAACACAGAAAAATCTATGTGTCAAGACTCAACTAGAGAACCAAGGCAGCAAGAGTAAGCAAACAAAAATGTAGTGGCTTCCCTTCTGGCCTTCCTTCCTAATGCCAAGCCAGACTGCTGACCCCAGAAGCTCCCCTGTTATGTTCGCAAGCAGCTGTGAGACTGTGCTCATGTTCCGAGCCATCTTCATCTTTTGTAAAATGAAGGGATGCTTTACAAACCCCCTCAGTCTTTTCCAGCACTGACCCTCAAATTAGCAGAATTCTATCTCCTATTGCTAGTGTAACAGTGGGAAGATAAAAATGTCTTTTCAAAAAAAAAAAAAAAAAAAGGCTTTCCATATAAATTATACAACTCCTACTCATTTAGCCAGAGTCTACTTCTACCCTTTCAAAACCTAATTTCTACCATAAGAAACTTATTTTAAAATGTTTTATTAAGTGTGCACAAAATGCTTTAAAAAAAGTCCTTTCTCCATCCCTACATCCTACATCAACATCTCGGTATGTCTTCGACTAGAGACCAAATCACAGTGTATATACAATCTTTGTCACAAAATGTTAACATGTAAACATATCCAAAGTCACACAGGTGACATCAAAGGGAGAAGAGGGGCGGGGAATTCAGTAACAGTTTTAATTAGATCAACTGTTAAAAGCTATTATGTCCAGGCTAAATAGGTTATGATCCTCCCTCTAGTTGTTACCAAAAAAATAAGCAATCTTCCCATAAGTAGCTTCCTGAAAAATATTAAATTTGACAATAAACTTCTGTAAAAATTCTTAACTTTGTCTTTTAGAAAAATTCACTATATGCACGACCCCTACAAACCTGGGATACCGGCCACATTTCTAAATACTAATCAAATAGATTTCTATAACTGACCTAATCACATGGTTTAGGAATTAACAATGAAATGCACTATCAGCATTACCTTCCTCTTCCTACAGGAAACTAACAGAAAGCAACTAGGATTCAAGTGGATACTTCTCTGAACAAGTCACATGAAATTGAATCGCCTTGCTTCTTATCACCTTACAAGTTATCTTCAAAACCCAAACTGGCTAGAGGGTTTCAGGTGCTCCTTCATCTTCTTCCTCAACCAGATCATGTTGAGACTATTCTAGTCTACGTATCCACTTATAACAATGTAAATAGATACAGAGAAATGTTTTCCCTCCTGAGCCACCACTTCTTTGCTACAGTCAACTATAGAACCAGTTCAAAAGCCTCAAAGTCCCCAGAATACAAGCCAGACACATTAGTATCTTAAAAGGAAAAACCCTTAAACTTTTGTCATCTAGCACCAAGAGCCTGTACTTCACCGACCCATTCCTAGGCCTAAGTTTCTGAAACATCTATAAAAAGTTACCCAATTTTCCACTGCCTCTCTTTTGGTACATTAGAAACTTAGTTAAAACCCCATATTCAACCAAATGTTGATGATCTTGCTTCTTCCACCAGATTAAAATTGTTGAGCTAAAGGGCCAACAATTATCTGCATGGGGTTCTACAGAAATTCTTTGAAGTAGCACCCAAAATAAACTGAAATACAAGATGAAATTTTTCATCAGTAGATCTAATGTTACTACTAAAAAAAATTAAGCCACCCAGCATAAACAGGGGGTCTACAAGCCAAACTTCACAGAAACATTACCATAGCCTTACAAGTTGCTTTCCATAAAAGTGCCATTTCCACTAAATGTTTTCACATATAGGGGTGAACAAAAGTATCAGGGATGGCACAAAACTCCTATCAAGTCACCTGTTATGCCATAAAAATACTGCTATCCACAGCTAGAAGTCAGGCTTGTACTAAATGCTTACCAAACCAGAAAACAACTGGCTACCATTTTGTTATCACACACAACATGCAAGCGAAAGGAGACCTACAAAACTCCAAGTTATTGATCTCATTTGCTCAAATAATGAACAGTAATGCCAACCTTTCTTTCCAGACTAATGTCTCCAAGCAATTCTTTCATTATGGTAAAAACCTACTCACTAAATGTCAACGAAATATAAATGGGCAGGCAGCCATTATGATCCTTGAAGAAAAAGTGTCAATTTGGGAGCAACACAGTCCTTGCCATGCAGATGACTGAAAGGCCTAGCTATGTAAAAGCTCTGGAGATGCATAAAGTGTCTGCCAGTACTGTTCTGGGGATGACATCTAATTTACTTGTGGCTCAAGAGTTTTAAGCTCAGACCTTACTCTGAAAAACTGCATGTTAAAATATGACAACATGGGGATGAGCTGTCTTGCTTTGACTGTACAGCTACATGATTATATGCATCACTCAGTTCCTATGTTTTTTTTCTTTGTGCAACAATGTGACACATGGCACCAGGATTCTTCATGGTGTTGAGTATGAGAAATCTCAGTATTCAAACCCTTATGTTCATCCTAACTCTAACAATGACATGTGATTACTAGAAAACCTTTTCTGATTATGCAGCGATTCCCTGCATTAACTCATAAGCAGCTTTTGGCATATATTACTACTGCTTCTTCACATTTAAACACACATACATGCACATACACACACTGCAAAACTATGAAAAAGACTATTCACTATGTAAGAGTTGATGAATGTTACTATAATGAGACCCCCATTTCCTAATTATTTCTGAAGTTAAATTTCAAAAGAATTAAATTACTTCTAAGGAGAAATTCAAAAAAATTACTTCTATTTACCTACCTGGACTGTTCTACCCACCCACAGCCACGAGTTCTGAAAAGGGTTTGTGTCATTTCTACAGAATACACCTTGGCCTCAATCCAACGAATGCCAGATACAGTCATGCCCAACTTCAAATCTCATGAATTTCCACATACCCTCTAGAAAATATTAACCATGAGTTGAGAATTTCTGCATTTAGAAAGCACTTTAAACCTCTAAGAGAAACCAATTTGTCATGTATGATTTGATATTTATTTGTAAAACAATTTCTTATGATTTTAAAGTTACTGCCACTTATTGTTTTCTCAAAGGGAATTCAGGTGAGCTTTCTTTTCATAACAAGCTTAATGTAAGCTACAAAAGTGCAAGCTATCTTCAAATTATGACTGCTGTGGGTCACATGAAGTGATTACCAAATAATTATTTAAACTGACCCAAAGGCAAAAACTTGATAAGCTTTTTAAATGAAGTTCATCTTGGACTATCAATGCTAAAATATAATATATATACTGACTGACCCAGAAATAGCCACAAGACTTAGTCACCTAAGTTTCTTTATATGCAGAAGATAGTCATTTTTTTTTTCCAAGACATTTGAAATACTAGGACCAAACTGGTAATATAAAACTTAAACTTAGCTAACCCACACCCCACCCCAATCCTGGCCAACCTAGACTCTGAGTAAATATAAAACAAAGCATTCCTATTTCTATACTAGTCCTCAAGATGGTCCTACAAATGAACACTGTTAAGAAATTAAGTTGACAACCTGACTGCCCCTGCCATTAGTTATCAGTCACACAAAGGTTTGTCTCACATATGTGAAAACAAAACCTTCACCCAGCTCACAACACTCAGCAAGAGTATGCGTGCGAAACGAGTATTAGTCTATATTACCAGAATAAATTTTCTTCCAGAAATATTTTAATAAAAATTGGCCGTTTCCAAGAAATACCCACTGCATGTCCATCAATAAGGGAACCTTAACAAAATAGAAAATTTACCATATGGCTATGATTTCAGAAAAAAAAATTGTAGACACTTGAATGTATCAGCAAAGTTCAACACTAAAGTCAAATTCCTTCTTATGGGCTATGATTAAGAATCTGGTTAGATATCAAAATAAAACTTAATACAAATGCAGAACTATTCATGTCAAAGGACTCTATAGAAACATTTGTCCCCAAAAGCATTCCAGTTTGAGACCATTTTAGAATAAGGCATAACAAATATTAACAGAAGACATACATGGTGATGAAAACAGAATTCCAGAATTCCCACATACTCTGACCTGGTAAAAACCAATCCGGTGGGTTTTTTGGTTGGTTTAATTTACTTTTTTGTATGTGTTTTTAATTTTTGCTTAAACAATTGTCAAAATTGCAAACAAAGAGAAGGCACAACAGTTTTTCTCTGGTTTTTTGTTATTTGGATTTTTGTTTTGTTTTTTTGTGGTTTTTCTTTTTTTTTGTTGTTTTTTGTTTTTTGATTTTTTTTACAAATACAAACTAAACATGAAAAAAAAAATCCTACTTCAAAAAAAAAAAAAGTTCAAGAAAAAGCTAATCACTTGCATTCTAGACATGTTAAAACCTATCTCACAATTTAAGTTTTAGTGGTAGAAATTTTCAGAATTGGTTGGTCATCACATACCAAAACAAAGTAACTATTAACACCTTTTATTCAGTTATTAGCCATACTAGCAAAAATCAAACTCGTCAAATTTTCCAATGGCAATTTTTGTACACAAAAAGGTTATGAATCTCAAAGAAACAATTTGGATTTTTCCTGCCTTCATAATGTTTACCAAATCCTGTATCTCAGGTTTTTGAAAACATGTAGAAAATGAGAAATATTTCAATGAATGAAACATACCAAATGTCAGTAATAAGAAAAACACATTCCTTTGGGGAAATGGCTATTTTTAAAAGTCCAGTCTGTATATGCAAAGTATAAGCAAGGAAATTCAGTCTTTTTTCTTCTTTATAAATCCAATACTCCTAAAACACCATTCCACAAAATTGGAAGTGAAGGACTACGGGGAGAAGGAAGGAGAGGGAGCACACACCATTAACGCAAAAGTAAAGTTGTACAAACTTTAGCAGTTTATAACAGACTATGTCATTCTCCAAGACGTGAAAGGCTGGTTGAAGAAATTCACCATTCTGCAGGAGCGAAGAGTTGTATGCTGAATGACGATCAGTGGAGGGCAGTTCACTGCCTTGGAGCCAGGCCCCTGCCCACTCCAAAGCCTGGCTTCTGCACCATGCCTCCTCGCGGAGGGCCTCTCATTCCACCGCCCAGCCCACCTCGAGGCCCTCCAGGTCCCCGCAGGCGGTTATCGCGACGGTCTCCTTCCCTAGCAGCTCGAGTCTTCTTCTCTTCCACATTCAGTCGCACTTCACCCCTGAACATGATGGGCTGTAAAAATCAAGGTGAGGAGACATAATCAGTGAGACATAATTAGCAATACCAGCACTGTGGCATTACCACAGTGCCTAAGCTGCCAGCATCCCAGAGCAATGGCTCAAATCCCAGTTGCTCCACTTCTGATCCCTGTCACATCTATGAGGTTGTAGAGGCTAGGCCCCTTACACCACTTGGTTTCAGACACTTAGGCAGTGACCGTCAGACATATTCCCCCGTCCCGGTCCTCTGCCTTCCAAATAAACAATGTTTAAAAAAAAAAAAACCTCGGGTCCAGCATGATAGCACAGCAGCTAAAGTCCTCACCTCGAATGCCCTGGGATCACATGTGGTCATCAGTTCTAATCCCGGCAGCCCTGCTTCCCATCCAGCTCCCTGCTGATGGCCTGCGAAAGCAGTCAAGGAGTTCCCAAAGCTTTGGGACCCTGGACCTGAGTGGGAGACCCAGAAGAGGTTCCTGGTTCCTGACTACTGGCTTCAGACTGGCTCAGCTCCCACCGCTGCGGCCACTTGGGGAGTGAACCATTGGATGAAGATCTTCCTCTCTGTATATCTGTCTCTCCAATAAAAATAAATAAATATTTTTAAAAAACGAAAAGAAAGAAAAACCAAATCAAAGCAAGAGTGGGGGCATGACTCAGTGGAATAAGCTCAAGCTTGGGACCACAGTGTTAGTCCACTTTCAATCCAACTTCCTGCTAATGTTTCCTGGAAACAGAACAGCTAAAGTACCCAAGTCCCTGCCATCTACAAGGGAGACCCCGATGAGGTTCTGGCTCCTGGATTCAGCCTAGCAGAGCTCTACTGACACAACCATTTGGAGAGTGAACAGGTGTGTTTCTCTCTGCTGTTCAATAAGAAATTTCTTAACAAAACTATACTGAGGACAACAACAGTGGCCAGCACTGTGGCATGTTATGCTAACCCTACACCTTTGACATCCACATCCCATTTTACATTCATAGCCTGACACGTATCAGTTCATGGCCCAGCTCCAATTTCCTTTTTTTTTTTTTTATTAAAATGTCAAATATACAGAGAGAAGGAGAGACAGAGAGGAAGATCTTCCCTCCACTGATTCACTCCCCACATGGCTGTAATGACTGGAGCTGAGCCGATACAAAGCCAAGAGCCACTTCCAGGTCTCCCACATGGGTACAGGGTCCTAAGGCTTTGGGCTGTCCTTGACTGCTTTCCCAGGCTGCAAGCAGGCAGCAGGATGGGAAGTGGGACCACCAGGATTAGAACCTGTACCCATATGGGAACCCAGTGCATGTGTTTCATGACAAAGTAATCAGACACAATCCTCCCTTTAGAATTTATCTCAAGCAATTGCTAAACACAAAAATGCTACCTAACATGGATACATGAAGCAAATGGATTAAAGGGTACTTCAGTAAGTTCCCAGGAAAAGGAACTAGAGGGGCTGGCACTGTGGCACAGTCCCAAAGACATAATCAGCGCCTACAGCACTAGCATCCCGTGTGGGCATCAGTTCGAGTCCACATTGCTCCACTTCCAGTATCTCACTGCTAAAGCACCTGGGAAAAGCAATGGAAGATGGTCCAAGTGCTTGGCCCCTGTACCAATGTGGTAACAGATTAAAATAAAGGTCCTGGTTCCTGTCTTTGGCCTAGCCAAGGTCTGGCCATTGTGGCCATTTGGGAAGTGAACCAACAGATAAAAATCTTCTCGGACTCTGGCACTGCCTCTGTAACTCTGCCTTTCTTAAGTAAAAGGAGGTGATCAAGCTGGACAACTGCCCACTCATCACAGACGCATCCCTAGAGCATTTGAAGAGCTTCATAGCCTCGAGCACAGAGAACCATGATTGCCAGCAGATCACGCTTGCTGGGATCAAGAGACTGAGGACCCATTTACCCAATATTAAAGTCCACACCTACTTCGTAGCAATCACTCCACCGCCATCAGCAGGGAGCAGCAGACAGCGCTTCTGATGAAGCTGCATCATCCTATGACAATGGAGGTGGTCAACCTTGCTGAACATGAGTATTTAATGACATTTCTAGAGTACCGTGGAAGTGGCACTCTCCAATGGAAGCGGCCCCAGTGTGGGGGGCAAGGATTCCACAATGAGGGAGGGCCACGTCCAGATCCCCACAGCCATACAGACATGCCTACAAACCCTCATCCATCCACTCAAGCTCTGTGACCATGGGACCATGGGACTGTTGTCTTGTTGGCTTTATCAAGCGGCATGGTAAACCTGAACCATTCCGGTTTGCTAAGGGGGCTCTTTCGGGACTTTTGGAATGGCAACTGCAGTTCTCCAGGATCAAGAAAGCATGGAAAAACAGTACAGGATGTATCCAGGGACCAGAAAATTTCTTCGCATCTTAAAAATTGTGGCGGCTTCTGTGCTTCCTTGTTTCCACACCAACATGCTGAACATGCTCACAAAGAAGGATTGTCCATTCCTCCTATTGTAGTATTTGACTTTGAAGTTTCATTGGAATCACTGTGGCCTAACAGTGATTCCTTATTCACTCCAGTCACTATCCGTAGCACACTTGAGCATCTGTCTTCCATCCTCTGTTGCTCCCTCCCACATTCCGCCTTAGTCTCGTCACCTGTTAATAGTCTAACTCACACTCAATTATTTGTTTTGCTATTGTGTTTATGGTTTGCATTCTGGATGATTACTTAAGGTTACCAAGCATTTTTAAAAAACACATTATCGATATTTTTTTTTAATTCTTAAAAAAGTAAAAGAAAGAAAGTTGAATTAGAAAGATAAGAATCCACTTACCCTGTGACTAAGGACCTTCTGAACAGGCTCAGAATCGTCAAACACAACAAAACCAAAATTAGGTAGCTTGCCACCACTGTTGATACGCAACTCCACCACATTCCCAAAAGCTGTCAAGTGAGAAGACTCTTCATTAGCAGTGTGCCAGCAACTAAATACACGTAACTAGTTTGCACTAAAATGTGATATAAATATTAAATATAGGTTGTTACTAAAAATGCATGCAAGCAAAGTGCCTCAGATTTTTTTCAGGTTTTGGGGAATCTGCATAAGCATATTCTCTTTCTTCAGGGTGAATTCCAAGTCTAAATGGATACTGACTGAAGATACTTTCAAGTTATTTATTTTACTAGACTTACATTTTTATTGCAACTTGTCATGCCAAGTATAGAATTTTCCATTCCAAACTTACTGCTCAATACCCCAAAAGTTTGGATGGATTTTTACTTTCACACTAGGGAGGCTTGACCTTTACCTCTTATAATACTGTCACACATGGAAATGGCAATGCTTCAAACACAGTTAAAAAAAGATTACTAAAACTCAATCCTCCACTTTCTTAAAGCATGACTGCCAGAAAACTACAATGTATTATTTATCTTCTGTTACAGTGTCACACCTCAATGAAGCATTCACCACTTAATAACTTTTGTATTTTTCTAGGTTTAATTGATTTTTAATATTGTTTACATAGTTGAGACAATAACTTACTTTGAAAGAAATCTTTCAGCTCGGACTTGTCTACCTCATGAGGCAGGTTACCTATGAAGAGCTGGTGACTGTCCGGGTGCCTCACCATTCTTCGGGGTTCAACATCGCCTTGCTCACCAGCATCACGAACTTACCACCACAAAAACATCAATGAAAGAAAAGATAAACATCGACTGTTAGCATCCAGTTGTCTTCCATCTAAATTTATCTTAAGTATTTTCATTGTGCACAGAAAGATCAACTGTCCCCCAAATAATCCAGCTAACAGTCGTTCTCCCCGAGCACGTACTTGGTCTGGGTCCCCTCTGGGCAGGAATGTTGATTCGTTGCTCTCGCACTCTTTGATCCCTCTGAGGCCTCTGCGGTGGAATCTGAGATTCAGGCTTAGAATCTGGACGGGGCTGAAAAGACAAAGCAAGTGTAGCTTTAGTCTTACAAACTTCACAGCTAACAATAGGACTTAAGCTTCAACATGAGAATCCCCTTTCATGGGAAAACAAAACAAAAACAAGCAATAAAAACAAAAACACCATTAAAAGCTGCCTTGCACCTTTCTCTGCCCTACATACCAATTCCCACATTGTCTAAATCTCTGTAGAATGACACTGCTAATATAAAAGCACATTCTACTGAGTGCAACTTTAAGAACCTTACTTGTGCAGCTGGAACTTTAACCACATGAGGTGGTATCCCAGTAACTGGAACAGCGCCACTGGGAGGAAGATTCTTGCTGGTCACAGATGCCCAAGAGAAAGTCTAGGGGAACAGCATCAACATTAACAGTCATACCACATACCAAAACAAGACCACAGCTAGCATTCTTGATATCTGTAATTACAAGGGCACTTCAAACATTTAACAGAAAATGGAATTAAAATTACTGTTTCTTTTTATTACTTATTAACTTATTTGAGAGAGCTCTCAGCCACAGATTAATACCAACTGTCTACAACACCTGGGAGTACATGTCGAAGCTGGGAGCCAAGAACACAGACATGTCCACCACACAGTGGCATGTACCTAAGCATCTGAGACTCTGCTGCCTGCAGGGTGTGCGCCAGCAGGGACTGTGGCCAGACACCAGGCCACCCTATGTGGGCAGGCTAATCAGAGTTTAAACATCTCCTCCCAAGAAGGTCTAGACTGAGCCACAGCCAATAGTGCTACAAACTTATTGAACTCCTTACCCTATAAACACAGCACTAAAAATATTTCTTCCCACAACATCAAATGTAGAGATTCTGGGGGGTGAACACCCTGATGGTATTCCGTAAGACCAAATATCTGGTCTTAACAGATATTCAGGTTATGAAAGTAATGCAACTACTTTCTAAAATTTTAGTACTACAAATGTGGGCCTCCAATTCTGAACAGAATGGAGAGGGTGAGAGCAAGGGAAGCTGGGGGAGATAACTGTTTCAGTTTTTCCTTATACCCCTGGCCAGGGGAGACGGGGAAAGGGCAGTAATTATTGATGTTATAAAGCAACATGCATCTTACTTAACTGAAGATTAGCACAGTATGTAAGAAATTATGCAAAACCAGACATGAAAATGTAACTTCTGAAATTCAAAGAAATAATAAAGAGGGGCTGGTACCCTGGCGTGACAGGTTCTGCCCCAAGTGTGGGCACTACTTCATGTCATGACTGCTCCGATCCCTCTCCCTGCTTATGGCCCAATTGTTTGGATTCCTGCACCCGTGGGAGTCTCCGAAGAAGCTCTAGGTTCCTGGCTTCTGACTGACGCAGTAGTGGACACTGCAGCCACCGGGGGAGTGAACCAGCAAATGGGACACACTCGGCGTCTCTCCTCCTCCATGTCTAACTAATAAACAAAAACTCTTTAAGAATAATAAAGGAAAAAAAAAATATGCCTTCTTCCTACCCTCAGGTCTTCCTGCACGGTCTGAGCTATGTCTGCAGGTGCCGGGGAAGAACTCTTCTGTGCATCCTCAGCAGGAGTTTCCTCTAATACTGGCTCAGACTTTTCCTCCTGGATCTCAGAGACAGGTTCTTGCTCAGGTTCTGGTTCAGGATCAGGCTCCGGTTCATTAACAGGCTCCTCTAGATGTTCTTCCAAGTCATTGCTTCCACAGGAAAATATAACAATCATTAAGCCTTCCTGTGACTTACAAGAAGTAAGTAACCATAAGCTCCCTCACCAAAAATGACATGAATTCCACAACCAAGTTTAAAGAAAAAGCAATTGATGAGAAATTTTAATCACCATGAGTAAGTTTTAATTTTGATCAAAACGCACATAAAGCTTTACTTATAATTCAACAGAGATCCTAAACTACTACAATTTATATATCACTTAGCAAAACAAAAACCTTCCTGTAATTGGCTGGTAAAAGAAAAAAAAAGCTGTAATTGTTTGAGTAGCTTTTTTTTTTGCAATAGTTTGAGCCGCTAAGCTATCGTGCCAGGTCATCTCTGCCTTTCAATCACATACCCCAAACCCCCGTGCCCTGCAAAGAAATCATCTCAAGGCCAGCCTGGGCTATCGTGGGCTAATTATCCTCCCAGGGCCAGCATCTCACATGGGCACTGTTTGGTGGCCCAGTTGCTGCACTTCCAATCAAGCTCTCTGCTAATGAATTACAAAAGCAGTGAAGGATGGCCCCAAAGAAACAATAAGAAAGCAACTAATAGTTACTGCTTACACAGTCCTCAGACATATACAAAAGCAAAAGGGTTCTTCTAGGAAAGTGTATGTCCTCAGTTCTGAGAATGTTACAACTTACAACCACACTCCAATCAAGAAAGACAAGACGATGCAAGCTCTTACAGAGCCTTGTGAATACAATCTTCCTTACCTGACAGTCTGTTCATAGAAGGCTCCTGAATCATCAGGTACCACCTCAGGTGTCTGCTGTCTTTCCTCTGGTTCCTCTACCTCTTCCTCAGATTCTAAGATAAAAGGAAAATATATTTAAAATAATTGGTGCTTACTAATCATCTTTCACAACAGTTACCACCATCATATCTTTCACAGTATTTTCTATAATCAAACAAAAATAGATCTGTCTGTCCATAAATCTGCCTTGAATTCAAGTAACAGTAAGTATTTTAAAGACAGTGAAATGCCATACACACTCACACATTAAAAACAAGCAAGGCGGGTCCGGCACGGTAGTCTAGTGGCTAAAATCCTCGCCTTGGATATGCTCGAAATCCATATGAGCATCAGTTCCTCGGGACTCTGCACCCGTGGGGGAGACCCAGAAGAGGCTCCATGCTCCTAGCTTCAGACTGGCTCAGCTTCAGCCACTGCAGCTGCTTGGGGAGTGAATCGACAGATTTTCCTGTCTGTCTATTCTCCTCCCTGTAAATCTGCCTTTCCAATAAGAACAAATAAATCTTAAAAATAATAAGGCAATCTGGGAAAACCATGCAAAGGTTTTAAAGGACAAAATTAAGGCATTTATGGTCTTATGGTTAAGAATCATGGAGTCAAGCCCTATTTCCAGCCATCTAATAGCAGCTCTACTGCCTTACCAACTATCCCACCTTAGGTAAATTACTATCTTGATGCCCTTTTACTACATGGAGAATAACAGTAGCAAAAGCATCTATTTATACAACTGTGTATTACACAATACACCCAGAACTTAGCAAAAATCTCAGCCATAGGAAATCCTATTAGTAGAAAAACTTTTACTAGTTTGGAGGTTATTTTCCGTTTTCGGGATCAGTCCATTTCCCCAGGCTATTTTCAACATTTATGTTCCAAATGGCTTTGGAAATGAATAGTATTTCCCTACAGAGCAAAGGACAGTAATTTCTACTGACCTTATAAAAGAACTGGGTTTCCTAAACTTAGGGCTGCATTTCTTTAACACAATACAAGTATCAACATGTGTTCTTCAGAGATGATGGCAGAAATGCTACTGTAGCTGTCCTAACACACTTGACCACTTCCTGTCTCAGAGTCTTAAGTCTTCTTCAAATACTCAGTTCATAAAACAGAATTTGTTAGCATCAGATAGGATAAAAACCTCACATCACTCATACATCTTGACAAATGTCTGTTACTGATACAGAAAAAAAATGAAACCACTTAGAGACCCAGACCCTTAGGTTCTAGCTTGTGGCACAGCAGCCAAAGCCACCAGCAAAAACACGGGCATGACAAATAGGCACTGCTTTGTGCCCTGGCTATTCCACTTCAATGTAGCTCCCTAATGGTCTAGAAAAAACAGTTGCAGATGGTCCAACTGTCTAAATTTCAGCTACCCAACATGGAAGGTCTGGATGAAAACCGCCAGCTTCAGCCTGGTTACAATTCTGGCTGCTGCACTCCCTAGGGCATGAGCCAGTTGATGCAAGATCTCCGTTTCTCGCTATAAATCTTTCAAATAAACAAGTAAAACTTTAAAAAATAAACAAAGCAATCCCAGTCCCTAAAGACCAACACCTCAAAGTTTGGGGATCTCTCCAATCGAACTGCTGGACTCAGAACCCCAAGTGTGAAGAGAATCGCAGGTTCCATGGTCTGACCATGGAGTGCAATTGCCAAAGCTGAGGAGGCTAAGATGGAGCAGTGGACAGCACACCCAGGTGCACATGGAGGCTATGACAGTCCATCAGAACCCACAGAGGACACCTGTACAACAGAGACCTGAGGACAGAACAAATCAATCAACTACCCCAGCCATGTGTTGGCAGTGGAAAATCTAAGGTGGACTATGTCAACCAGTGGATTCTGCAGTGATTTCTCTTGAGCAGGACCCTCGGAGCATGCCCCACATTGGGGACCTGGAAAGTGTGGAAGCTGAGTGAGGCTTCTCCCTTTATTTTTCCCCTTTACCCCAAACACAGAAAAAAAATGTGGAAACAATAGTCTTCACTTTCCTGTATCCCCTGACCCTTTGTGCCCTAATCAACTATGTAAAGATTGTCAAAATAAAGCAATTAAAAAGTAACCAAGTAACTTACACTGTTTCACTACTTACCCTCCTGAGGCTCAGTGACAAAGCCACCAAAGACCTCATCCTGGTATCTGAAGATATCATTGTGAACATAGAACTTATTTGCAACAGATCCCTGCAATACCAATAAAAAGTTTTCATTTATTCAACATACTTTTATAAAGCCCAGTCCCTGTATAGCAGTGGTTCTTACAACTACAGACAAATTTTCCCTCAACAGACATTTGTCAAGACATGTCAGTTTTCACAACTAGAGAGTGATTTTGACAGCTGTTAAGAGGACAGGGATACTATGAATATCACTCATTGCACATGACACTTCCGGAAACAAAACAAAAACCAATCAGCTTAAAAGGTCAACATTAGGGCTGGCACAACAGCATAGCCTGCTAGTGCCAGGATCCCATATGGATATGAAATCAAGTTCTGGCTGCTCCACTTCCAGTCTAACTCTGTGCTTGTGGCCTGGGAAAGCAGCAGCAGAGGGCCCCAAGTCTTGGGACTCTGCACCCACGTGGGAACTAAAGAAAACGCTCCTGGCTCAACTTTGGCCACTGCAGTCAGCTGGGGAGGGATAAACAGCAGATCACAAAAAATTCCATTCCTTAAAAATCAATTTTTGAGCCTGGCACGGCAGCCTAGCGGCTAAACTCCTCACCCTGCATGTGCCAGGATCCTATATGGGTGCCAGGATTAGAACTCATTTTACGTTTATACAATAAAAAGGCCATGAATTTTAGGTTTACTACCCTCAACAGAAAATTTTCTGAATGATGCTACAGAAAATGATCATTTATGAAGCAAGTCCTTTATTAAGCCACTTTTAGGTGCCTAAGCTAAAACCTTCCTGACCTTACACTATCTAGACACAAGTACAAATTAATTATTCAACACAAACCCATGGTCCCTCTAAAAATTTAAAAGGATCAGAGTTCTTAAGCAAACATCTGACTCCAAAAGTAGTCTGGAGTAAAAAATGCAGCTTGAAGAGCAGCTTTTAGGAGTCCACACATTAATATCTGGGACAATTTTGACACAACTGTTAAAATGAATTATAACCCATTCAATTATGCCACAAACCCACTACCAGTACCTAAATTCTTTACAGAATGCCAAAAGACAGAAATGATGGGAACAGATACTCTCCATGAGAAAACCAACCAACTCAGCCTACAAGCAATGAATGCGCAAAGTCTGATAAGCAATGATATTTACCTACTCTCAATCTCATAATTCACTTATGAATTACGGGAGAATTCCTAGCATTACAGTCAAAACCTGGTGAACATCACACCCAAACAATGTAACAATGTGACTGACCCACATTAGCATCATTAATGACAGGACTGATGACAAGCACCTCTCAACATGAAGTCTTCTATAAAACTGTGACTATGATCATCAAAAAAAGCATGCCATGGAAAAACGTGCAGATTTCAGGATAAACCTAAATGCATCTTACTAACTACAAATCGAATCCTAGGGAGGAAAACACTGTGAAAGGGAGATTTGGGGTTAATTCCTGAAAGTTAAGTATCACCTCCAGAATGATTATATATCTGAGAAATACTAGCTCAGTTTGTCTAATTGTACTACTGTCACTTAAGGAACCAGTTAAGTATCCAAAGAATTAACAGCACATCTCTAACATAACTTCAAGTGGTCATTGGAAAAACACAAGGATAACAGAAATGCCTGCGAGCAAAAACTGACAGTGGCAAGCAAAACCAAACAAGACCTCGCCTGGCAGTGGACACAGCGAATGATACACAGAAGCTGTCCGGCCACTCCTGTGCAGGCCTGAGACAGCAAGCACTTTCCAAAGTCCATGTAACCCTTCTGTGGGGACGGGGCCTACCTCAGGGGCGAGGACGAAGGTCTGCATGAATCTCCGCAGGGCCTGGTTGTTGTTGGAGAGCAGCCCCATCACCTGCACCACCACACCATCGTTCAGAGTAGCATGAGCGTCAACGTGGCGAATCTTGGTGTGGCAGTTGGTGAAGTTCTGCGACATCACTTTCCTATGGATTTCCTAAAGAATTAAGGTGTAAGAGTTCAAGAGTGATAAAACATACAATCTCTTACTAGTTTTTGTTTAAAAATTCCAAAACATAGATGAAGCAAATGTGCATGTGCAAATTACTGAAATTTTATTTTTAAATGCCTTCCTATAATTTTTCTCAGTGAAGCCCCTTTGAATTCTTCAAAACTAATGCTTTTCAAAGGGAGACCACCCCCTGCAAGTCTTTTAACTTTAGAATTCTACCATGGGAAACAATGAAGTATCCCATCACATAAGCATTTCAACACAGTATCGTTTAAACAAGTCATAATTACTTGCCAAAACCTCTCAGAAAATTTTTAAATCCAGAATTCTTGTAATCTGTACCAAAAAAAAAAAAAAAACAAACAAACAAAAAAAAAAACCAACACCCTGAAAGATAAACATCTCCAAATATACGTTATTTTTTAAATGCTTAAAGGAATCAAGAAACCTAGGTATACTTACTTTCTGTCCATAGACCGCGTCTGCTGGCTTTCCATTGGAATCCAAGCCCCCATGGACATAAGAAGAGTTCTTCCCATAAAATCTGTACAACAAAGAAATAATTTACCTGTCACCCTAAGTATCTTTAAGACCAGACAGATGGACTTGATGCAGTGGCTCAATTGGCTAATCCTCCCATATGGGCACTGGTTTGTAACCTGGCTGCTTCACTTCCCTTCCCATTCCCTGCTTGTAGCCTAGGAATCCAAAGGAGGACAGACCAAAGGCTTGGGATCCAGCACCCGTGTTGGAGACCTGGAAAAACTTCCAGGCCCCTAGCTTTGTATCAGCTCAGCTCTGGACACTGCAGCCATTCGGGGAATGAACCAGCAGAGGGAAAAGCTTTCTTTCTGGTTCTCCTTCGCTCTGTAAATCTGGTCTGCCTTTCCAACAAAAATAAATAAATCTCCAGAATAAAACAAAAATCACAGATCTTTTAAAAATCAACTAGGTTTTGTATGTTCATGTTATTTTCCATGTTCAGTTTGCATCTGTCTCACTAACAAATGCTAGAAGGCAGCAGTGTGTTTTCTATCTTCTCAATCTATACAATCATCTCACCATCACCTACATGGCATCTGGTCAACTTCCGCTGAGGGAACAGACTGCCAATGAGATGGAACACTTTACAGTCTTGCATGAGGAAAGGCACTCAAAACCAAAGTTCCTGGGGCGAGAGCCGCAGCACAGCAGGCCAACCCTACACCTACACACAGCGCTGGCATGAGGCGCCAGCTCATATCCAGACTGCTCCACTTTACATCCACTTCCCTGGACACAGTCTGACAGCAGCAGAGCTTGGCTCAAGGAAAGCTCTCCATCTCTCCCTTTCTCTGCCTTTCTCTGCCTTCAACTTTCAAACAAATAAATGCCCAAAAAAGAGCAACTTAGTACTTATCCATTTTCAGAAAAAATCCTATAAACAAATCTGTAAATTTTCTTTTACACCTATTATTTATATACTATCTAATATCTAAGCTAGTAAAACGCAATGGAAGAATAGCCCAATAAACACACATTTTGGAACGTCTATAAAAGAATTCTATAGGGCCCAACATGGTAGCCTAGAAGCTAACGTCCTCACCTTGCATGCGCCAGGATCCCATGTGGGTGCTAGTTTGTGTCCCAGCTGATCCACTTCCCTTCCAACTCCCTGCTTGTAGCCGGGGAAGCAAAAGAGGACAGCTAAAGTCCTTTGGACCCTGCACCCAAGTGGGAGGACCAAAAGAAGCTCCAGGCTTCAGATCAGCTCAGCTCTGGTGAGTGAGCCAGCCGATGGAAGATTTTTCTTCCCATCGCTCTTTCTCTCTGCAAATCTGACTTTCCAATAAAAATAGTACAATATTCAACCAAAAAAATTGTATACACAAACAGCATCAAATTATGCAATAGTGCAGCATGTAAGGAACTAAGGTAAGGAAGTGCCCTGTATCCTCAAGGGATTAAAATATGCTGCATCGCCATAAAACAAAAAACTTTGGTCACTAGAAAATCATGGATGTTCAACACATTCCTACTAAATAATGTACAAATTCAGCTGTTTCATCTGTCTTAGTATCTTTTAATTGTTTCTTAAATTCTTACACTAATTCTCAACAATAATTTTGACAGCCACTGATCCTTATATTTTAAATCTCATCATGCAACAACTTGGCGAGGCCCAGGATGATGAAGGAGACTTCGGGGCAAGCACCCTGTGCTGCACGCGGCAGTGGGGACCAGGAGAACGTCTGACCTGTGCAGCATGTCCGGGGCCTGGTTCAGCAGCGTGTAGTACTGCCTCACAAACTCCCGCCCGACCAGCAGGGGACTAGGCTTCTCCATAACCATTGCTTTGGTCAATTCAACCTTCAGGAGCAAAAACGTCAAACCTGAATGAGTAAACACAAGAGAAAAGACTGAACTGTTTACCTGAACCAAGTCACTCGATCACTTCAGTAATTATTGGTTTTAAAAATAGATAAGCAGGGCCCAGCACAATAGCCTATTAGCTCAATCGTCCCCTTGCACTTGCCAGAACCCCACGAGCAACAGTTCATGTCCCAGCTGTTCTACTCGCCACCTGTCTTTCCTTCTGTCTGTAAATCTTTCCAATAAAAATAAATAAAAAATAAATCTTAACAAAAAAATACACATCTATAGGGGTCTGGTGATGTGCCCAAGCAGGTTAGGATGCCAGCTTTATCATCCTCCACATCCCATGTCAGACAGCAGTTCAAATCTTGGCTGCCCTTCTTCCCACCCAGTTTCCTGCTAACATGCGTGAGTGGCAGTCCATGGTGCCTGGGCCCATGCCAAGTGCGAGACCCAGGCAGAGGTCCAGGCTTCTGCCTCCAGCCTGGCTAAGCCAGCCAACAGAAGATGGCTCTTGACTCTTCATTTTAAATAATAAAGTTGAAAAACAAAAACCATAAACAAGGAATTCTAAAACAGTTCATTTAAGAGGACCAAAAATAGTATGGGGGAAGGTTAACACGGTGCTCTTTCCTAAAAAAAAAAAATCATCATAATCATCATCATCTCTGGGGCCCACACGGTAGCCTAGCAGCTAAAGTCCTCGCCTTACATGCACTAGGATCCCTTGTGGGTGCCAGTTCTAATCCCTGCAGCCACACTTCCCATCCACCTCCCTGGCTTGTGGCCTCTGAAAGCAGTTGAGGACAACCCAAAGCCTTGGGACCTTGCATGCGTGTGGGAGACCCGGAAGGGGCTCCAGGTTCCTGGCTTCAGACTGGCTCAGCTCCAACCGTTATGGCGAACGAGTAGATGAAAGATCTTTCTCTCTCTGTCTCCTTCTCTCTGTATATCTGACTTTCCAATAAAAATTAAATCTTTTTTTAAATTAAATTTACTACTCAAAATCATGCACCTCTCACAGTAAGCCAATTACTACCAGTGAATACCCATACCCCAAATCCACTTCCCTACTGCAGTCCTGGCTCCATTTCCTAATCCTGTTTCCTGCTAATACGGCGAATCTCTGCCACTCCTGTGTCAAGCCCACAGAGTTCTGGATTGCTGGCTCTGGGCGGCCCAACTCAACTGCTATAGGCACTTAAGAACCAATCAGTGGACATCTCTCCCTCCTGCTGCCTTTCAAATAAAAACGTTAAAAAAATCCATGAACATTTTGAGAAGTGAGAATATCGTACTAAACACCCAAGCCAACAATATAAATAATGTTTATTATAAAACAAAAACTATATTTTAGAGTACTCTTTTTTCCCAAAGATTTATTTTACTTGAAAAGTCAAGAAAAAAAAAAAAAAAGAAACAGAGACAGAGATCTTCAGCTTATTTACTCCCCAAATACTGCACAAGCCAGGCCCCGGCCAGTCCATGTACTTACTACTTTTATTTGTAAGAGAAGACCTTCTATTCAATAATTCACTCCTATATCAGCTAGCTACAGTGGGACCAGGCTGAAGCCCAGCAGCCTGGAGCACAATCCCAGTCGCCTTCTGAGTGACAAGGATCCAACAATGGGAGCCATCAACACCAGTTTCAGAGCACACATAGCAACAAACCAGAATCCAAAGTGGAGCCAGGATTAGAACCCGTGCACACGGTAGGTAGCAACCCAAACTGCCTCTCACCCACAGCACCGAACACCTGTCCCTGCTTTTTTGCTTATTTATTCAGGTACTCACTAATTCATGTAGAGTTCCAGAAAGAGCGACCTGATGATACACTCCCTAAATTCCTGCAACAACCAGAGCTCAATCAGGCTCATGCCAGGTCTCCCTCATTCATGGCAGGAACCCAAGTATTCTGATCACAAAGGTCAATCTTTCACGTCCATAAGCAGGAAGCTTATGGAAGCTGGAGTTAATCACAGGCACTCCAATACAGAAAGCAGACACCGGAAGCAGCTGCTTACCCCACAAGTCACCATTATGGTTTCTAACATCTATCCCTTTTATTCATTTCTCTATAAAATCTACAGTAGTTGAAAGTATGTTCATGTTCTCCAAATAACCACCATTCGCTCAACATCAAACAGCTTCACAGTCACACTTGGAACATAATTTATCTTCAGGCATGGTCATGAAAATCATTTGCATGAATCTATCCTCCTGAACCAACTCAATGGGTGGAATCCCATATGGGTGCCTGCTCCTGTCCTGGGCTGCTCCCTGCGGATGGCTGGGAGAGCAGTTGAGTTATGTGCCAAAGCCTTAGATCTCTGCTCCCACATGGGAGACCCGGAAGAAGCTCCTGGCTCTGGATGAGGATCAGCTCAGCTCCAGCCATTACGGCCATTTTGGGAGTGAACCAGCAGATGGAAGATCTTTGCTTCTCCTTCTCTCCTTAAATCTGCCTTTTGAACAACTCTTTGGAAAAAAACAAAAATGATAATCTATATCCTACTCTTAAACCTGAAGCAGAATGAGAAATTGCTCTACATCTTCCTTTCTCACCTAACAAGACTTTAATATTTCTTGCTGATCTTAGTTTAAATATTAAACAGGTCACTGTACCTTATAAACAAGTCACTTTCCATTTAGTTATATTTATATGCTTCTTTATATAGAAGCTTTATACAGGTGATTAACAAAATCTTGCTTCTCTTTCTAAAATATACAATATAGGGGTCACCCTTGTGTTGCACCAGGTTCTATGGCACCTGCAGTCCATTACCATGACAGTTCCAATCCAGATCCATATATTCACGGGAAAGCGGTAAAAGAGGACTCAAGTACCTGGACTCCCAGCATCCTATGTACGAGTCCAAAACGGAATGAACTCCTGACTCCTGGCTAAATCCAGCCAAACCCAAGCCATGGTGGTCATTTGGGGAGGAAGTAGCAGGTGGAAGGCCTCTTTCTGTCTCTCCCTTTCAAATACGTAAAACAGATACTTTTTAAAAATACACAATATATTCATAACCCAAGAAGCAACTTGCAGCAGGAATCTCAGACACCTGTTAGGACATCTTACATGTCACACTGGAGTGCTGAGACTCAATTCCAGCCTCCAGAGTGTGGCTTCCTTCCAACGGAGACCCTATGAGGCAGCAGGGAAGGCTCAAATTGTTGGGTCCCGGCTCCCACATTGGACCCATGGACACAATTCCTGACTCCTGACTGCAGTCACCTAGTCCCAGCTGCCAACATCTGGATAGTAAGTCAGCCGATGCAAGCTGAGTCTCTTCATATGCTGGCTTGCACTTGTAAGTTTACCGCAGTTTTCCCAGTCTTCCTCACAGGACAGATAAATCCGATAAAGAAAGCAGCAGGAACCAATTGTTTTACTCTCATTGCATTTGCTTGGTTTCACTGTTATCACCTTTTCCCTAAAAAATGTCATCACTGCTGTCACATAAACCTAACTGCTTCTCCTGCTATTTCCAAATAGTGCTAACAATTTCCAAATGTAACATTTTATCAAATACACTCACATCCCATCTTCTTATGCAAATGACAGAAGCTCTCTACAAAGGCAAAAAATAAACTCCAATTTATTTTCTCCTTGAGACTGTTTAAAAAATAAGCATAATACTGCTAATATTAACATCAATATTTTACTTCAACTCACTTCATTAAAACCGTAAAAGTAGAGTTAAACAGGTTTATGGCGAATCACCTTCAATGCCTTAATAGGCTCCTCTTAACCAACCATAAGTTTGAACCTTATCAGAATCATTCAACCAATTTCTTGATATTAATTTCCTATATTAATTCAGTAGGTGAGTATTTTGAGAAGGCAGGAGCTCAGCACTTTCAAGTTTTCTGAGCAGATGGCAGCTTACTTCAGCTTCAGCTGTCAAACTCAGGAGCAGGTATTTATTTGGCTGAGCAGCTAAAACGTCCCTTTACCACAGTATCTGGGTTCTATCTCTGCCAGGCAGGTTTCCACAGGCTTGTTCTCAGGTGGGGTGATCCCTAGGTCAGCATGCTGGCAAGGTGCGCTGGTGGACGGGGACTTCAGGGACTTCAAAAGGTCTGGATCTTGAGTGTGTGGAGGAGTAAGGTCCAAGGCCAGCACACAACTCTAGTGGGTGGGCAGAGCTCCAGGCCAGCTCTCCCCTCCACCAGAAGACTGGACTTGGGAAGGCCTGGCTGGGACTGTGAACTGATCAGGGAAAGGGGCAAGGTGATGTGGGGGAGGGAAGACCGGAGAGGCAGTGTGCTGCAAATGAGGAATGACTTCTGAGGGACCTCCAATGACAAGGCCACTGAACTTGCAGGTGAGGCAGGGGGCTGAGACCAAGCAGTCTGGAGGTGAGAACTTGAGGACCTTTAAGGGCCAGACTTACACACCAGTCCATGTGGGAGCCCTGAGCTGGGCTAGTAATAGGAAGCATGCATCACCAGAGTGGTGCACAATAAACCTAGGGCTGGGCACATGTCTGGCAGAGTTAGCCTGGGCCATGACACTAATCAGCATGCAAGAACAAGGGCTGGGGGCAGATTTTGTGGAGGATATGTGGGCTCATTCAGGAGGAACTGCAATTCTGGTGGTTTGCTTAAGAGCTGGGGGAGTTAACAAAGTAAACCTCCCACATCATGGGAACTGGGATTGGGAACAGGCCGGGCTGGCCCATGCTGCAGCACCCACAGGTGCACCCAAGAATCGGGTACTGGGTGGGCCAAGCCATAACATCCACCAGCTCATATAAAGGCAAGGACGGAGGGGGTAGACTATGCCAAGTAAGGGGCTACCACCCACCAGCACATGTGAAATGTGGGCCTAGAATTTGGCCTGGTGGGACATAGCCTTTGAATCAGGCCTTGGTGTTGCTCAGGCCAAGGAAGGTAGCTCTACCTGTCGGCAAGTATGTGGATCAATTCTAGAGGGGGTAAACCAGGTAGGGCAGGGCCAACCTTAGCCCACTGGCATGTGCAGGAGCCAGGCTGCAGTGTGGGTC